GAGAGAAAGGTTGAAATATGAAGTTATTTTTTTGCTACATCTACATTGGCATTACTGTGTGATTGAGCCAGAGCTATTTCTTCACTGCTACAACTAGACATCAACAATAGTCTCATCACTTCTCTATCTTGTCTTCCGTCGTCTTCACTATCCTGAGAGAAAAATGTCCACATCTCGCGCTTTGATCGGTGTACCATGCGTAATTAAATCGCCCGCAGTGCTACTTTGCATGATAGGCTCCAAGGGTGCTAGATCCATGGTCCGGTATTGCTCGAGGTCTACTAGGGCTTCTTCTTCTTCTTCAACTTTGTAGTGGGGCCGCTGATGGTCGGTTTTCCGTGGGTTTGTGTTTCGACGGTTCTTGGATGGCGGAGGTGGGCTGGGGGTTGGGCTTGAGGGAGTAGTGTAGGGTGCGCTGAATGGAGTGTCTATGGTTGACGAGGTACTTGGAGATAGAATGGGCTCGGAGGCTCGACGGATGTGGGACAGAGGTGGTGTGGGAGGTGAGGGTTTGTTGGCGTTTGCGTTGGAGGGCTGTTGGAGTGTTAGCAGTTGTTCATCTTCGTGTGGACGCATACTAACTTCTTGAGCCGCGGATGGATCATGAGTGGCTTTGACGTCACTTCCACCATCTTGGTAGCTATCTTGAGCTGGATACAGCTCAGCTGCTTCTGCTGTTGCCACCAATTTGGATTCAATTTCTTGCGCTGACACCTGCGCTCGCAATTTCTCCTCCATCAGTCCGCGGTACTTGCTCATCTGCTCGTCCTCACTCAGCTCTGCCTGGTCATGCGGGTATAGTGTGCCAAAGTCTTGTATGGAAGTATCCACGACAGTCGTAAACGGGATGTTCATGACGTCTTCAATAGTGTCGCCTTGATAGACGTTGAGGTTGGAGACTGTCGTGTCGAAGTCGCTTAACTCCATGGTGTTGGTCTTTTTCGTCATCGTCGTGCATGTGTTTAATTGCGTGAAGGTGTTGTTTCTCGGATGGTGTGTCGAAATAGAGGGGAAGGGTTTTTGGCACCAAGGGCATAGTCAGGGAAGTGACAGTGAGGTCAGATAAGTAAAGTGGGGACAGCAAACGCGGTAAAGGTAAACAGTGATCACATTCACGGGACATTAATGATTTCGCAAAAAGGTTTCTCCAGTTACGGTAAGCAATCGTCGTCATACCCTATTTGTTCAAATGATCACGCAACAAACATGTCCATTTTCAAAATGATAGGTGAAAGGAAAACCCACGTGAATAAATCTGCTAACATCAAACCTCAACACCCTCTTCACCCACACGTATCCCTCTAAGCACATAACCATCCCTTCTCCCCTCAGCCGCTTCTCGCAACAGAGTTTTCTTAACCTCTTCAGATCTAACTCTCCACCTCACATTGTACGGCTTCGCCATCGTGGTACTCCCAATCGCATCGAACGCCTCATCACTAGTATCAACCTCGATTTCCTTTCCCGAGCTATCAAGCGGCGGTAAGATATCGAAAGCCCAAAGCAACTTTGCAAGAACAATGAACATGCTATTCTCCGCCAGGTGGAGGCCAGAACAGATTCTGCGGCCGGCGCCAAAAGCCCAGTGGTCGCGGCTTGCTGCAGGTCCAGCAGCGTAGTGACCTGATCCGTGTGGGTGGTTGAGATATCTCTCTGGATAGAAACGCTGGGGTTCGCTGAAGACGTTGGGATCGTAGTGGATGGGGTACTGTTGGAGACATACGACCGATTGTGCAGGGATGTGAATGCCGTTATAGTCGACGGGTGCGGTGGTGAAATGCGGTGTACCGAAGTTGGTGACAGGACGTAGACGCAGTGTCTCTTTGACAATGGCACGTATATAAGGCAACTCGGGCTCGTTATCGAAGGTTGGAGATCGAGTAGACGATGTGACTTTCTGGATCTCTTCAAATGCCCTTTGCCTGGCATGTGGGTTTGCAGAGAGGTAAAGGATCGCCGTATTGAGTGCTGCGGAAGTTGTTTCGCTTCCTGCTTCAATCATACTACCTGCCAGAAACGCTGCCTGTAGCTCACTGATACCTTGCTTTTCGTAGTCGCTTTCCATAAACTGCTTCACAAAGCATTCGGGAGCTTGCTTGGTTTCCATCTGCGTCTTCAAGGTGCTCCAAAACGACATCCATAGCTTAGCTTGCTTTTCAAAGTATGGTTTGACTTCTTTGCGCCACCACTGTAGTTTTGGAGGGAGTTTTCCGAGGAAAGGAAGTGTGTCAGCAAGGTAAGTGCCTGGCTTTGCCAAGAGAGAAAAATCGTTCATGATACCGTAAATGCCATGAACTTCGTCGCAGTCCTAATCCTTTTAACCCAAATCATCAGATGGATTTTGCATATTCATACTCACCCAATCTGGTATACGTCTTCCATAAGTACTTGTCATGATGACACTAACGGTGTATCTTCTGATCGCTTTGTAACTGGCCCCATTTCCCTTGTCTGTATCCGCTCCGTGCAAAATCTCCTCAAGCAGCATCTTTGCTTCGAATTCCTGACTTGGTTGGAAAGTGGCGCTCACAGCTGGGGTCAGCAGCTTGTGGCTGATGCTTCTTAACTTTCGCCATTTAGGTCCATACTCCATGAACAAGAATCTCATTCCCCCGCTCAGTGCATCTCCAGATACAGGCAGTGGTGCTCGCGAGCTGGTGGATGCAGACTGCTTGTCGAGAATCTCCTTGCACGCATTAGGCGAGCAGATCATGTACCAATCATTCCAACCAAGTCGGATCCTGTATACTTCGCCATACTCGCGAGCCCATGCTGTGATTTGCTGATGTGGTTGCTGGCCGAGTTGATGTGCATTTCCGAGGATTGGAAGGCCAGCAGGCCCAGGGGCGGCTTTTGTGCCGGGCGGCAGTTTGTTCTTGTATCGTGTGTAGACAACGAAGGTCGCGAGCAGCAAGGATAGGAGGGCAAAGGTGTGCATGTGGGGCTAGGAATGGCTGGGGTGTATGTTGGGGAAGAACATGAAGCGTAACAAAAAACACAGTGCTCTTAGGGAATAGACTCTGGGAACTAGGCTTTCTGGATATTGGAATAAGTATGGACATTCTATTGATAACACGCATGGTTTGATGTAGGTTGCGTACCCCACATGTTTAGGCTAAGAGGCCTGAGTATGGTACAGGCAGATGAATGAGGGGAATGTGGAGTAAAGCTTGATAGGCTGCTAGCCCGTGTTTTGTCCAGAGCATCTTCTCCACCTTACCCCATATTCGGTCAGCCTATGGCAATAGGGAAATTGATATGGGCTCCCATAGCGCGTTAGCACGTGCTAGTCGCCACTTTCTTGAAGCCTCTAAGCGGGACCTGACGCGCTCATTCTCGCCAGCAGGGTCGAAACCATGCGATCTGAAAAATGACACGTTTTCCCGCTGTTCAGATGGCACAAAGACAATGCTCAAATGCGATGATACATAACAAGCACCTTATCCATCCAATCGTTAGTCAGCAGTCGCTCTGTCGGCTCCCGAAGCTGCCGAAACCCACATGCACATCCATCCTTCAGCAACATAGCGAAAATGTAGTCTTAGAATCAGCGCGAATCCTGTCGAGATGTCACCGCGATTCACATATAGATAAAAAGATCGCATCCCATAGCTAACAAAGTCATGAAAAACTAACGATGCTCACCCGCTTAGCAGTCCGCACGCCTCTGCGTTGCCTAACGTCCAGTCTCTACCTGTCCAGCATCCGCGCGCCAGTTCCCCAACGCACCATGTCCACCTCGCCCTCATTCAAACTCGACCCCTCTCTCTTCAACCGCACACTATACGACCGCGTAATATCGAAATGGTTCCCCGGTATCGACACCAGCGGGCAGGAGCTCGACATGACCGTGGTGAAGCGCTGGTTCATGGCGAGCCCCGCCGAACGAGTCGCATTCGACACACAATGTCGCGAAGCCTTTTCTCCCGCGTTGGAAGCCATTGGCCCCGACAAATGCCCCGACGCGACCGCGCACCCGTTCCTCGACGAATTGCGCCGTATTGCTGAGCCAAATGGGGATGCGAATAGCGAGGAAGCGGCGTGGACGGCGCTTAGTATGGCACTGCTGCTCGACCAGATACCGCGGAATATATACCGTACAGATTCTGGGCTGCAGCTTGTATACAACCACTACGACTGCGTGGCGAAGCATCTAGTCCGTACGCTCTTATCCCCCGAGTCGCCTATTCCACGCCCGGATTTACATCCAGTCTTCCGCCTTTCGTCGCCGCATAGAATGTGGTTCTACATGCCGCTTCTCCACTCTGAAGACGTAGCTGATCACGATTTTGTAGACGGCATTGTGTATGAGCTGGAGAAAGAGGTAGCAAGTTTAGAGGGATACAAAGGCACAAAGATGTTTCTTGAGGGGTACAACAAGTCGGCTAGGGAACATAGAGATATACTGGATAGGTTTGGTAGATATCCGCATCGGAATGGGGCGTTGGGTAGGGAGAGTACAGAGGAAGAGAAACGGTTCTTGAAAGAGGGAGGAGCTACGTTTGGGGTTGCGCAGGAGACGAAGGAAGCTGCGTTCTAGGACACTAATTTAGCGTCAACACAGTCTTGTGCAGACAGAGTATCTTTGCATTAGCGAAATATTCGCCAGTCAAGCTGCTCCAAAATAAGGTGTATCCTTGCCAACCCATCAATGATTGCGTACTTAGTGCTAATTTTCTCTCTTGGTATTGGCCTTGTCCTCGGCCAGTTGTACCTGCACCTCGAACCAATGAAGTAGCCGTTCAGTAGCCTCAACATTTCTCTTCAGATCTTCCACATTTTGCTGGAGTTGCTTGCGATGCTCAAACACTGCTGATCCTTCCGCTGGCTGCATTTCTTCATACTGTGACAAAGTATGCTCGAGGTGATGTAGGACCTGCTTTTGCCTTATCCAGTTGGTACGCACTTGCTCCGTGGCAATGATTGGGCCATGGAAGTCGTCTTGCGCAACTGCTGCCGACTGCTGCGGTGTCTCGGATTCTCTGCTGGGTAGTGAAACCTTATCCGCTCGCTGCTTCTGCCGCAATTGCTTTTCTGAGTCTGCTTCGTGGTATCCGAGGATCGCATACCGAACAATCATGTCCCCAGTCATGTTGTTGACTAGTTGTAGCTCTCGTCGCAATATGTCTTTAGCTCTGTCTTCTTTGTCGTCAAGGTAAAAGACATGCTCCATAAGCCCAAGATGCCTCCACAAAAAGTTCATTTCCATTCTTACTTGTTCCTTGTCCCTCTTGATTTTCTCCCGCCACTCTTGGATGACGCTTTCGTCCCGTGTCTGAAGACTGTCCTTGTATGCTCGATAGCCTGCTTCCATGTCTGGCCCTGTAAGATCGTCTGCTTTGAACTCTATTTGTATGAGGGTAAACTTGGCCGTGTCTGCTTGCAGCGAAGAGCTCAACGCTGGCCCCTGAGATGCTCGGCTCGACGGTGTCGCGTGCTGCTGTCCGCTAGACATACCACTCATCCCCCTGGCCCTTGCAAAATATAGAGGGTTGCGCAGAATCTGTAGATATGGAGATGAATGATACTTGAGCGCAAGTTTGCCAACGAGTGATAACGAAGCTTTCGCTTCCTCATCACGCTGCAATTTTTCATATGCTCTTCTCCGGTTTACCCTGTCGGATGACTCAATGATACTCATAAGTCGCGGGTCGATGCGAGTTATAAACATTTGTCCAGTCTTGTAGCCCAGTGCGCATCCGACGGTCGTTGCTCCAATGAACCTTGAGATCCCATAGGCTCCAGGGAAAGCGCGCGGGTTCAGGGCCGTCACAATGCCCAATACTCCACCAGCCAGCATCGCATCATCTGCAGTCCAGCCCGTTGTCTTTTGCCATAGCTTTCCAGGCTCTGGCGTGATATTTTCCATTTTGAACACCCCTCTATTTATCTCCCGTTGCCCATACAAGCCAGCAGCTGTCCATGAGAGATCGACAACGCTGAAGAAGGCTGCGGAACGCAGGACCGTGCCTGGATATGAGCGGCCAACAAGCGCAAAGAGGCCGGTGATGCCAGCAGCAGCAAGAGAACTTCTCCATGGTGATGTGATCAGGTCAAGCTCTGCAGGGAGGCCGCTGGGTCGTTTTCGCGTGAGCGGATGTTGTCCCTCGCCTAGAGCTCGGTCAGGAGCTATGCGCCGCCTGTGCCTTTCAGACACATACCTTCAGGAACAAATAATCGGATGACCATTTTGCATTACGATGGTTATGTATAAATTCGCGGAGCTGGCGGTAGTAAAGCGACAGTCATTGGATACATTGTCCCAGTGAGTGAAGCTTGCGGAATGGAGCAGAGGTCACGCAAGCGCAGTTCGGGAAATTGCGTTTATGATGTCGATGATGCATGCACGACCCTTGCGGTAATGCATATGACGTATCAATCGGGAGTTACATGAAGGAAGTAGCAAAGAACAGGCAGTATAAACCATGACTGCCCTCAAGTCCACAGCAGTTGTTTTACACAACCATCTCAATTAGACGGTAATACGTATACTATTCTTAAGTGGCGATGTCGCGTCCGTGGGTCAACCGGCCCCACAGCTGAAGCCCCACAACAATGAGACGTGGTTTGTTCCCGGATAGGACAAGTACGATGTGACTGTGCGACTCTCGGATTTAATTCATATATAGAATAGCAAATGCTCAATTCTTTCATCAATAGCTACTCGAGCTACACGGTCTTATGGTCTAGTGGTATGATTCTCGCTTAGGGATTTCCCGAGCACAGCTTGCGAGAGGCCCCGCGTTCGAGTCGCGGTAAGACCCCTTTTTTGCACTTTTATATTTAATTCCATCATAATATACCATAAACTATACTTAGGTAGCTTTAATTTCTATTTAGTTTATGAATCCTTTTTTTTATGGAATTATATCTTACTAAGATTAAAAATATATTAAATAAAGAAAAAAAGTATAACGTACCTCACGGGTTCGTTAATTATACGGGTTCGTTGATCAATTTTGCCAAGACCCTACTAAAACACCTACCCTACCTAAATGTCGCAATAACAACAGTATTTAGAGCCCTCTACTAAGTTTTAGATATAGCTTGCTCTTTAAGCTCTTAAATAAGACGCGAATCTCTTATAATAACGCGCTATAGCTATCTTTAACGTTCTCTAAAGCATATTAAGTTAATAACGCGTAGGATAACCTTTATAGGTAGATTACTAGCCTAAAACGATAAATCTAACTAAGCTTAAGGAGAAGGTAGTTATTAAGTATATACTTAACCTTAATTTACGTAGATTTCCCTCTAGGCTTATAGATATAGCTAATAAAGCCAATTCTTTATACGCTAAGCGTAATCTAGACTAGGTTAGCTAAAACTAGCCTAGCACGTTCGTTAAGCGCCGCCCTAAGCTTAAAGTAAAGTTTAATCGCAAGTACGACCATAAGAGAGCCCTTTATAAGGATTCTAAGGCTATTTAAAACTAGTTTAGCCTAGTAGCTAATATAAAAGCTAAGTATAGGATCTAAGATAATAATACGTAAAACTTTAATAAGATAGGCTTTATAATAGGCTAGATTGGATCTAGAGCTATTATTATAGCTTTAGAGAGACGTAGACGGTCTAAGACTATCTAGCTAGGTAATAGAGAGTGGGCTATAGTTATCTAGGGCATTAACGCGACTAGATAGACGATTCCGCCCTTTATTATCCTTAAGGCGCGCTACTACCTCTCTAACTAGTATAAGAATAGCGATATACCCTAGAACTAGGTTATTAGAGTCTCTAAGAATAGCTAGACGACTAATAAGCTTAGTCTTATATAGATAAAGCACTTTAATAAGTATATAAAGATAAAGAAGGTAGGCGCCTACTATCTAATTATTATTAATAGCTATAAGAGCTTTAACTTGCTAGATTTCTAAAAGTACTATAAAGATAACGCTATTATTACTATTTATATACCTATATACTCGTCTTACCTCTTATAGCCCCTTAATATAGGCTATTTTGCCTCTTTAAAGTAGGTCTATAGGCGCTAAGTTAAATTACTTATACGCACCTAGATTAGTTGTATTATAAAATAAGAGTTTCTTTCTTACTTTAAGTAGGCTTTTAACGCATTATTTATAGCTAGTAGCGTCTAAAGAGGCTTTTAAGGCGCTAGATTAGTCTTATTTAACCTAGAATAGGTTATATCCGCCCTTGATATTTAGTTACACACTCTATTACCCCTACCTACTTATAACTAGCCCTAGGTATTATAAACCTCTAATAATACCCTAGAATTAGGGTTATAATTAACGCTAGTAAAGTAGAGAATTTAAAGGTATATAGATAGTTCACCGACGTCTATAATAGAGGCCTTTAAAAAGATCTTAAAGAGGGCAGCTATTATCGCGTATAAGCTGGTGTTAGCGTAAAAGCAGATTACTAAGCTTAAAGCAGCTAACCTAGCCGCCACGCGACGAAAATCGCATAAAAGAAAATAAGTTTAAGTAGAGAGAACCTTAATAGTTAAAGATAGAGAGCGCTTAGCTACTCTCTAGAACTTTAGTGCGCGTAGTAATAGGAAGAAGTTAAAGAAGTAGAAACGCGCTAAAGGGGGTAAACTATCTTAAAGACGATATAAATAGTATAATAGAACTAGGCATAATGCGCGAACATATAAGCAGGTAGTAGAAGTAGACTTAGAATGATATCTTATATTTCTTTACGCTATGCAGGTCGAAAGTGGGCTATTTTAGGCCATAATGTGGTGGTTTTGGTGGGGTCTTGGCAAAAGTGATCAACGAACCCGTGTGATCAACGAACCCGTGAGGTACGTTAATAAAAGTAAGATAAAGATATAAAAGAAAGACTTTAATTTAGAATTAGAAAAATAGATAATAAGATAAGATAGATAGACAATACTAAGTAACTTAATAGAAAATTAAAAATAGAGTCTAAGAAATAAACTATAGAATAAGTATACTAAAGGCTTATATCTTTAAACTTACTAACGTGGTTCACAAGCGAATGGCTCACCCAAGCGAATGGCTCACCCAAGCGAATGGCTCACGCCCCACCAGCGCGTCGACGTCAACACTACAACGCGTCATGTCTCAATAACGTAATTATCTATTAACTTACTCTAAATTAGATCTTTAGCTTACTCTTTTTAATATCTAGTTAGAACGTATCTAAAGCTAAAGACGTGCTGCCTCTATCTATAATATACCTTAAAGAACTTTATCTTACTAACGCGCTAGAAAGCGCTCCTAACGCGACTATGAAGCGAACTTAAAGCGCCTAAATAAGCTAGAAGAGGAGGCTATAGTTAAGCGTATTCTTAAAGAGTCTACGCGAGAATTTACGCCTATAAAGCCTAACGTTTAAGTAATAGCTAATAAACTTCTATATAAGTGTAGGAGTAAACCTATTAGTAAGAACTAGATTAATAACTTTATTAAGGGGACTCCTAAGCTCTGCACGCGCTGGAGCCGTCTATATAATTACTAGCAAGCTACCTGTAAGGACCTAGCGGCTATCTAGCGCTGGTTCGACTTAGTCTAGGCGATAAAGTAGAAGTAGGGTATTATAGACGACAATATCTATAACTTTAACGAGACTAGCTTTACAATAGGCAAGATTTTATTATAGTTAGTTATTATAGGCTTAGATAAACTAGGAAGAATAAAGAAGATCTAGCTAGGTAATCGTAAGTAGATTACGCTAATATAGGGCGTTAGCGTAATAGGTATATATATTCTAGCGTTTCTTATCTTTATAGGTAAGGTTCTAATCTCTACCTAGTTTACAGAGGATCTGCTACGCGACTAAGTAATCGAAGTTAGTCCTATAGGCTAGATAAATAATAATCTAGCGCTTAATTAGCTTTATTACTTTAATTCATATACGCGGCCTATAGGGACGTATAGGCTGCTTATTATTAATATCTATAAGAGCTACTACTTAGTAGCTTTCTAAGATCTATATAAAGAGATAAAGATAATCCTTCTCTATATACCTCTCTACTTATCGCACCTCTTATAGCCTCTTAATATAGGCTGCTTCTCGCCGTTAAAGCGCGCGTATAGTAATACTATCTTAGTCTTAGCACGTAATCGCATTTACTATATTAGTAAAGAAACCTTCCTATTAGCGTTTAAATAGGCCTATTATAAGGCTATTATACTAGAGAACATCTAGAGAGAGTTTTAAGTTACTAAGCTTACTCTATATAATTATTTCATCATTTTGTGAAAGCTTAACGTTATATTACGTACGCTAACTCTACTAGCGTAAGAGACTACTACCTAAGAGCTAAAAACGCTATATAACGCACGCGATATAGAGGCGTAGACTTCGCTTATTTAAAACTATATATAAGTCTAGTAAGAGTCTTCTACTATCTCTCTAAAGAAGTAAATATAGTAGGTAAGTAAGGGAGATTAGTAGATTGCTTATTATATAGTATTAATATAGAAGAAAACAAATTACCTATAAGACGCTTTTAAAGCGTTAATAAAGTAAAAAACTTATAATTAGCACTATATATAGGTAGAGAGGTTCTAGATAGTTAGCTAGATAGCTAATTAGATTACTAAGATAGAGAGTAGTAGCTATAATAAGAGTATAACGTCTACGAAGAGAGTACGTAGTAAACAACACTATAAGTGTTATAGCTAAATTAGATATAACTCTTATAACTATTAAGTAGAATTAGAGGATATAGAGAATAGTAACGCGTCTAAAGAATAATATCTTATTCTACTTGATAAGAAAAGTTATAGTAGTATTATATAATACTATTACAAAGTGATAATAGTATAGAGAAGTGGCCTCTATACTACAGTAGCCTACCTACTAATGAAACACGTTAAGTATAATATAGTTTCTGAGTAAGTAGCTTATTTAAGCGAGTGACTTACCCTCTACTAGCGCGCTAATATTAACACTATAACTCGTGATACCTTAATAATATACTACTTAAACCCTCTATGCTAAAGTAGATTTATAGCTTACTCTCTTTAATCTCTAATTATAACATATTAAAAGCTAAAGATGTACTATCTCTATCTATGATATAATATAAAGAACTTTTTCTTACTAATGTACTAGATAGCTCTCATAATATAACTATATACTAAAATTAACGTATCTAAATAAGATAGAAGAGAAGATGATAGTTAACTATATTTTTAAGAAGTCTATGTAAGAATTCGCGTCTATAAAGACTAAGGTTTAAGTAATAGCTAATAAACTATTATGTAAGTCTAAGAGAAACCCTATTAGTAAGATCTAGATTAATAGCTATATTAAGAGAACTTCTAAGCTCTATACGCGCTAGGGCTATCTCTATAATTACTAGTTAGCTACCTATATAAACTTAGCTACTATCTAGTACTAGTTTAATCTAGTTAAGAATATAGAGAAGAAGTATAGTATAATAAATAATAATACTTATTCTCTTAATAAGACTCACTTTATAATAAGTAAGATTTTATTATAGTTAGTTATTATAAGCTTAGAGAGTTCTAGTGAAAAGAAGCGTATATAGCTAAATAACTATAAATAGACTACTATAATCTAAGGCGTAAATATATTAGATTACTAGATATCTCTCTTCATTATCTTTATAGATAAGGTACTTATTAACGTGTAGTTCAAAAACCTATCTACTAATTAGGTTCTTAAGGTTAGTATTATAAGCAATAATAGAAAGGATTCTCTCTCTAGTGATAATAGTATAGTAGTTAAGGAACTACTTGAAATAATAACTAGGAATAATAGGTATCGCGGGGCAAGGTCACGTAATACGCTATCACGCTAAGATAGTGTTATTGGTAATAGTAGATACTATATATAATAGCAACTATTGAAAGTAGAGATAGCCATTAGTAATAGTAGATTAAAGTTCTAATAGTAAGACTAGAAGCGATAAAGATACAAGGATAGAAAGGTTTTATTATTTACTCCTATTATAGTTAACCTAAATTATACCACCTTACTAATCAATTTACTTTATAAGATTATTACTAGTTAGTCTATCTAATATAGGTTAGTAGTTATTGAATCTTTATTACCTTCTATATAAGTATACTACTCTACTACAATACTAGATAAACTCTTACGGCGCTCTTTACACTATCTTACTCGCCCTAACCTAGATCAAGCTTAGAGAAGTACTAGCACCTAACTCTGTGTAACACTTTAACTACCTATAGATTTAGTAAATTAGAAGATTAATAATAGGATGTCGAATTAAGATTTAGGATATCTTATAATTATGCTTAATCTTAGACTGGTACTAGTGGACTAGTATAGAGTCTTAGACTAGCGCCTAATCTAGTACTTAACGATAAGATACTAACGCTAAGTAATAATAAAGAAGTGGACAAAGACGCGCACTCCTTATAAGAATTAAGGAATCTTAGGTACTAGACTAATATCTAGGCGAAAATAGTAGCTAATCTATAAGCTATAGTTTACGAGCTTAAAAGCTAAATAATAGCTACGCTAAATAAAAAATCTATCAAGAAACCTAAGATAGTAATACTAGATAAGTATAATAGAAGTTACACTAAGCTATAAATATTCCTTACTAATATTAAACTATACTATAGTTATAATAAAGTACCTAATAATGAAAAAAAGATCCTTATAGCTAATACCTATAGAAAAGAAAAAGTAGCTAGTTAGATATAGCCTTATATAGAGGTCTTTCTAGAGAATATTCCTAATAAGATAACTAAGAAAGAAATATAGAATCTATTTAGTAGTTAGGCTAACTTTAAGAAAGAATTAAAACGTATCTTTAGGGAGGTAGACGCAGAAAGTTAGGCTAAGAAAGTAATCTTACGCCTAAAGTAGACTAAGTTAGTATTGGTATATACGGCTAAGTTTAAGTAATACTATATATAAATTAATTAGAATAATTTAGCGCTTTAAAGGACATATAAAACTCGTCTAAAAGAAGTTATTAAGAACGAAGTTATATAACGTGGTTCACAAGCGAGCGCGCCACCAAAGCGAGCGCGCCGCTTTGCACCAGCGCGTTAACGTCGAGACGTTACCACGTAATGTCTTAACAACGTACTACTTAAACTTTCTATACTAAATTAGATATTTAACTTACTCTTTTTAATTTTAATTCCTACTGTGCTAAAAGCTAAAGACGTGCTGTAGCGATCTACAACGTTCTACGAAGAACACTCCAGCGTAGAGACGCTAGGATACGCTTTCGGCGCGACTATAAAGCGAACTCGAAGCGCCTAAATAAGCTAGAAGAGGAGGCTATAGTTAAGCGTATTCTTAAAGAGTCTATAAGAGGATTTGCGCCTATAAAGGCTAATATTCGCGTAATAGCTAATAAACTATTATATAAGCGAGGGGGTAACCCTATTAGCAAGAACTAGGTTAATAACTTTGTTAAGAGAACTCCTAAGCTCCGTACGCGCTAGAGCCGTCCCTATAATTACTAGCGAGCTATCTACCAAGACCTAGCAGCTATCCAGCACTAGTTCGATCTAGTTAAGATAACGAATCAGAAGTAAGGTATTATAGATAATAATATCTATAACTTTAATAAAACTAGCTTTATAATAGATAAGATTTTATTATAGTTAGTTATTATAGTGTCTAAAGGATATAGTAAAAAGAAGTAGAGATAGCTAGGTAACCATGAGTAGGTTACTGTAATCTAAGGCGTGGGTGTATTAGGTCGCCGGCTACCACCCTTCGTCGTCTTTGCGGGCAAGGTGCTTATTAACGTCTAGTTTAAAAACCTGCCTACCAACTAGGTGCTTAAAGTTAGTCCTAATAGCTGGACGAATAATTGGCTTACTCTTACCTAGTTAGAGCACTTTAATACCTATATAAAGAGCTGCACTATAAATAGATATTAATTACTTATTATTATCAGCTATAAGAGCTACTACTTAGTTAAATTTTAAGATCTTTATAAGAAGAAGAATATTGTTCTTCTCTATATACTTATACACTCGTCTTACCTATTATAGCCTCTTAATATCGCCTACTTTAGGCTATTAAAGCGTAAGTATAGTAACGTAGTTTTAGCCTTAGTGCGTAACCGCACTAACTATATTAGTAAGGACACCTTTCTACTAGCCTTTAGGGCTGCTCTTAAGCAGTCTATTACGAAGGAGAATATCTAAGCTAGTTTTAGAGCCGCTAGTCTAGTCCTATATAATCTATAGGCTATGCTATTAAAGCTTAATATAGTAGTGTAGACACTAAAATAATCACCACGATAGGCAGATACCTAGGAGGCGCAGACACCGCACAACGCCCGCGAAGTTAAGGCTTAAAGTACTTTTATTTAATAGAGAGTAAGAAATCGCCCTAAGTCTTCTATAAGTTCTCTTAACGAGAAGGCTTCTTCCATTACGTAGTTAAGTAAAGAGGCTTAGTAAATAGTATATAAGATAACGCTTATAAGGGAGGAAGTAGCTGCTTTTTAAGAGGCTCTAGATATAGTAAATAAGCGTAAGAGCCGCAAGCGGCGATACGTATAGACAGAAGAGACTGTTAATATAGATAAGGTATAAGAAGTATTAGCTGAACAGGCGGGTAGTAGTCGTGGTGATGGGGAGAGTGCGTCGAAGAGGGTGCGAGGAGAGAGGCGGTGCGGGCGTTGTAAGCAGACTAGACATAACGCCCATACCTGCGTAGTTAAGATAGATAGTACGAGTAATAGTAGCGACTCTAATAATTAATTTAGTATATTATAATAGTTTATTAACTGTAATAAAAGTCTGTGATAATGTGTTGAAGTTGTCGCGCTGGTGGGGCGCGAGCGATTCGCTTGGGTGAGCGATTCGCTTGTGAACCACGTTACTAGTTTTATTAGAAATAACGATAGAATACTTAAAAGATAGAAGACTACTACTATAGTATAATATCTACTAAGGAATATAACTCTAAGTACAGTAGAATATATAAGATATAGAAACTAAGAGTTATAATAACTAGAATGCTTAAGTAGAAGCTAAGAAAGTCTAATAAGGATAAAGGCTATAAACGACTCTCATAGACGTACTATAAAGAGAGATACGTATTCTACTGATAATAGTTTAAGAATACTTAAGAAGTAAATAATTACTACTATAGTACTCTATCTATAAGTATTTATAAGGTAATAGATTACCTAATTTATAAAGTAAAGAAGCTAAGACTAATAATAGAGGTAGTAAAGTAGAAAACTTTATACTAGAATATCTATTAAAGCTTTTATTATAATTACTAGTATATGATATACTATTCTACTAAAGTATGCGAAAGCTACTTTTCTAAGTAGAGAAAAGGTAGGTAGTTAAAAAACTAGAATGCTACTAGGGATATGGTCACGCTAGTAAAGGTAGTTCTGAAACGACCCCTAGAATAGTATAGAATACTAGAAAATAGTTAGAATTAACTACGCCTATATCTATGTATAGTTATAAACTAACTACGTTTATAGATAGTAGAGCTTCTAAAATACTTATCTTACTACGAGTAGTAGAGAAGTAAAATATACTCTATCAAAACTAGGAATAACTAATATAGATAATATTAGCTAAAGAAACTCCTATAATATATAGAGGTAGCGTAATAAGGCTAGAAACTAAGATATTAACGCTTAAGGTAGCGAATATAAGCAGCTAAATAAATATTAGTATTATAGATCTAGAATAAATAAATATACTAATTAGTTATAACTAGCTAGACGCCTGTCACTCTACTATTATTTAGTAAAAGAATACTATTTATAGCTAAGAACCTACGCGCAAGGTTACTAGAGTACGATATAAGATACGCCTAATAAACTAAAGCTTACTCTAGAATAGAAGGTTTAGTAAGATCATACTATATAAGATTGTAAGAATTTATATAAAGAACTCATAGAGTATAGAAGTTATTTAGATATAATAGGTCGCGACTATAAAGGAAGAACTATTACTATAAGTTGCGCCTATAAAGAACGAACTACTATTAGTAATTCTAGTAGAATACTAAATATAAGAGTTTAAGGAACTAATTAAGAAAAATAAAGTAATAGACTTAGTAGAATACTAGAATTAGAATTATAAGATTATCCTAGAAGAAGGAGTAAAGTTAAGCCTAGAAGAGATATACTCTATAGCGCCTAAGTATAACGCTAAGCTGCGGAATTACCTCTAAAAAACTTAAAAAAGAGACTTATCTAACTAGGATTAACGTAAAGCACCACCGAGCCGGACACACCACTGAGCCGGACACTTTTTCTTGGTATCGCGAACATCACTTGCAAAGTAATATGTCCTAACCACGTGAAGAGATATTAACTTAGAGAGAAGCTAGAATTACTCTTACTATTTAGGCCTATAATATAGGTTAGTTTAAGAGTATTTGACGCGCTGTTGCTATCTATAATATTCCTTTTCAGCGGCTTTCTAATTAGCTTAATAAAATCACTTTTCGGCCCTAGGTATCTCTAAACTGCCGCAAACTAACTATAATTAAGGGGTAAATAATCATATAATATATTCTTAATTTAGATTTATAAGGATTTGCTCCCTAACTATGCGAGGTAGTTGATATAGTAGAGAAACTACTACGCGTACAAGATAGCCAACCTTTAGGTAAGAACTAGGTAGAGAGATTTATATCGCGTTTAGACGAGCTTAAAACAGCTTTTAATTAAGTAAAGGACCACTAAAGAATATAGTAGGAAGATCTAGAGGTTATTAACGCGTGGTTTAGTCTTATATAAGAGATAAATGAGAAGTATAGAGTATATTCTAATAATATAAATAACTTTAACGAGACTAGCTTTTAGATAGGTGTAATTAGCTTAATGAAGGTTGTTATAGGCGTAGAGTATCGTACAAGGCCTACTCTCACGTAGCNAGGCAATCGCGAGTAGGTTATAGTTATTTAGAGTATCTGCGCTATAGGGTATACTACCCCGCTATTTATTATCTATAAGGGACGCGTCTATATCTCTACTTAGTACGAAGAAGCGGATATACTATATAACTAGAAGCTCTTAGTATTATAGAACGGCTAGACGAATAATAAGCTTAGCCTTGCGTAGTTAAAGCACTTTAATAAGTATATAAAGACGCGTTAGGTAGGGTTATATAGGCTACTTATCCTTAATAGCTATAAGAGCTACCTAAACTAAGAATTTAAGGACTACTATCTTATATAGAAGATCCTTACTATTTATATACCTACTTATTTATCGCATATACTCTAGCCGCTTAATATTATCTACTTTTTACCTCTTAAGTAGAAGTACTATTCACGCGTAAAAGACTTAGTACGCTACTACGTCTAGTATATTAATAAGGAACGCTTCTTACTAGCCTTTTAAGACGCGTTTTTCGACGTGTTTACGTCTAATAACTGTAAGAAGGCCTTTAAGGCAGTAGGGCTAGTCCCTCTTGACGCGTAGAGAGTTATTAATCGCCTTAACGTACGCCTTTATACCCTACTATAAGAAGCTTAGCTAGAAATACCCTAGAAGTCTAAAACACTTAGTAATTTGTATAAATTTAAATTATAGTTAAAGCTTATAAGAGACTTCTTTATACAATCACTAAATACTATATAAGAAGGCTTTTTAAAGCTTATTAAAGGAGCTAAGGAGATGCTATATAAGAATGTGCTTATGAAGGCCTATATACGAGAGCTTAAAGAGCAATTAGTAGTAGTAATAAAGCGCTAGGGGCGCAAAAGAAAGCGAATTTAGATAGGTAGGACACTAGACTTTAGTATAGGAGCATTGTAGGTAGCTAAAATCACTTCTATTAGTCGTACGACATAAAAGAGGGCGCGTAGTAAGGGTAACGTGTTTCACCACCGAGCGCCGCACCCCACCGAGCGCCGCACCCCACCGAGCGCCGCAGTTCCCCCACTAAAACAACGTCGCAATACTTCTTACGCAACACCACCACAATTTTTAGTAATAAATAGAATAAGATGTTATTCTTTAGATGCGTCGCTATCCTCTGTATCCTCTAATTCTACTTGGCACGTACGGGAGTTATGTCCAATTTGGCTACAACGCCCGCAGCGCCGTTTAGTATGCACCCTCTTTGCAGGCGTTGCATCCTTATTAGAGCTACTACCCTCTACCTTAGCGATCTAATTAGCTATCTAGCTAACTGTCTAAGACCCCTCTGCCTGTATATAGCGCCGCTTATAAGTTTTTCGCTTTGTTAACGCTTTAATAGCGTCTCGTAGGCGACTTATTTCCTCCTGCATTAATACTATATAATAAGCGATCTACTAGGCTCCCTTACTTAACTGCTGTATCTACTCCTTAAGAGACGTTGTAGGAGACCCTTGCTGGATTTGCATGCGGTTTCGAATAAGCGTAGCCTGCGCCTCTAATTTGCGCGCGTTGCGCGGCGTTTTCGGCTCCTATATAGTAGTCTCTTGCGCTGGTGGAGTTAGCGTACGTAATATGACGTTAAGCTATAATAAAATAATATGATAATCGTGTAGAGTAAGCCTAGCACCTTAATACCCTCTATATATATTCTCTAGTGTAATAGCCTTATAATAGGCCTGTTTGAACGCTAGTAGGAAGGTTTCTTTGCTAATATAGTAGATGCGATTGCGTGCTAAGACTGAGATAGCATCACTATACACGCGCTTTAACGGCGAGAAGCAGCCCACATCAAGAGGCTGTAAGAGGTGCGACGAGTGGGGAGGCATACAGAGGAGGATTATCTTTATCTCTTCGCAGAGATCTTAGAAAGCTACTAAGCAGTAGCTCTTATAGCCGTTAATAATAAGCAGCCTATACGTCCCTATAGGCCGCGCATAGAAATCGAAGTGACGAAGCTAGTTAAGCGCTAGATTGTTATTCATCTAGCCTATAGGACTAATCTGGATTACCTAGTCGCGTGGTATATCCTCCGTGAACTAGGTAGAGATTAGAACCTTGCCTGCGAAGATAAGAAACGCTGGGATATACGTGCCTATTACGCTAACGCCTTATATTAGCGTAACCTACTTACAATTACCTGGCTAGATCTTCTTTATTCTTCCTAGTTTATCTGAGCCCGTAATAACTAACTGTAATAAAATCTTGCCTATAATAAAGCTAGTCTTATTAAAGTTATAGATATCTTTGTATACGATACTATACTTTGCCTTTGTATTCTGAACTAGCTCGAACCAGCCCTTAATAAGCGCTAGGTCTTTGCAGAGAGCTCGCTAGTGATTGTATGGACGGCTCTGGCGCGTACGCAGCTTAGGATTGCGCTGGACAAACCTATTAACTTAGTTCTTATTAACCTTCTTCCCGCCACGCTTTTGGAGTAGTCTATTAGCTATATCTCGCACGTCGTCTCTCCTATAGGGTAGTCCTCGCTCGGCCTTAACTATTATACGCCTAGTAATAGCCTCCTCTTCTAGTTTTGTTAGGCGCTTATAGTTGGGCTTGTAGTCGCGTTGAGAGTGCTTTCCGTCGCGTTATTAATGTATTGTTCGTTTAGGGACGTTATAGATCTTTCTAGCACGTCGAATACTTTGAATTTGGTTTCTAGAAAGCTTAGAGACTGCTATTTGCACGTTAGCTTTAGTATACTCTCTCTAGGTTTATAGTTGTTGAGACATCACGCGTTATTGTTGGGACGTTGTTTTAGTGGGGGAACTGCGGCGCTCGGTGGGGTGCGGCGCTCGGTGGTGAAACACGTTAGTTAAGAAAGGTCTTAGCTAGGTTAACGGCACTATAGAACCTATAGAAAGATAGGTTATAACTCTCGTACGTACTAAAAGGATATAGAAGAAGATTCTTTATTAGATATAAGTAAGTTATATAACGTATCTATAGCTAGTATAGAGTAATTTAAATTTTTATTTATAAAGTTCGCGATGCTAAGAAAAAGTGTCGGGCTCGGTAGTGTGTCCGGCTCGGTGGTGCTTTACGTTAGGCCTAATAGCCTTATCTATATTATTTATAAAAAAGTCTGATAAAAAGTAGTAACTATATATTAACTTTAGAAGATTAAATAGCGTTACTTAGAGAAATTAATATCCTCTACTACTTATCATAGAGCTTATAGACTAACTGTAGAGAGCTAAGTAGCTTATAAAGTTCGAGGTTTAGAAAGAATTTTACTTAATTAGGATTAAAGAAGATTATAGGTAGATAATGGCGTTTGAAACTAAGTATAGACTTTTTAAGTATATAGTTATACTATTTAGATTAACGAATACGCTAGGAACCTTTTAATTAGTTATTTATAACGTACTCTATAAATACCTTAGAATCTTTATTACTACGTATCTAGATAATATCCTAGTATATACTAGTAGTATACGCGAAGAATATATTAAGTATATTTAAGCTAGCAAATGGGTAGAGATTGTGTTATAGTTAGGTTGCTAAAAGTTTAGGTAAGAGTTAGGTCAGGTCGCGCAGGCAAAATCAAGGCTTAGCTATTTATAATTACATTTTTTATTATTCTATATTATATTTATCACATATATATATCACAGAGAGAGCAGATTATTTAGATTAAAGAGCTATCTATAATATAAACCATCCTCTACATAGGAATATAGAAACTATCCTCCACATAGGAATATAGAAACTATCCTCTAGTTTTAAGGACCTACAATAGCGTCCTATTACTATAATACTTATCAAGATAATATAAAGCGAGATAAGATTCCTTCGCCTATATAGTAACCCGCTTAGCGTAAATAGTATTCAGAATACAGTCTATTAATATTAATCACTTAAATACTATTATAAAGATTTATAATCAATACCTTTAAGGTAACTAATAAGAAATGCCTTATATATCTCTTATAGCGCGCTAATAGCCCCCCAATAATACTATAATCTTATACGGATACTCTCTGTAATATTACGTATAAGGCGTAAAAAAGGTAGCATTAGTATTAGTAAGTTATAGCTACCCTACTACTTTTTATTTTCTTGTAGTGCGATAGCTGCCGTCTATTAGTTTATAACTATAATCGAAGCTAATAACAACTTACTACTAGGTTTAAATTAGCGCTTTTTAGAGGCGGGCTTTACTAGGGTTTTACAGGCGGACTTTATAGCTAGATTTTTCTTAGCTTAAGTACCTCTAGTAGACTTATAGGTAGTCGACTTAGTACGTACTATATTATAGAGCTAAAAAAACTATATATCGTTCGTATATAGTATAGTAGTAAGTCAGTATAGTAGATTAAGTTGATAGATTATTAGGTAGATAAGTCACGTGTTTAAAAAAGGTCTAAGCTCTAGGCTACAGGTAAGGAAAAATTAGGGTCTAGTAATACCTAGATACTCAAGATAATAATATTTAACTTAATCCGTAATAATTAACCATAATAACCTAGCACTAGATAGAACTCGACCCGCTAATTCAACTAGTACTAACCATTAATAGATATACTCTATAAATTTTATTAATATCTCGATATAGAGTTTCCGCGCTAGCTTTCGCGCTAGCAGCTTAGTAGGTTTTAGGGTCTAGAGCACTATATAGGGGTAATATAGATTTTATCTCTACTCTAATTTAGCTACATTATAATAAATCTCTATAATAATCTACTCTTAGATAGAGCATTATTAACGCTTTAAAATTATACTAAAATCTAAATTTTCAGACTTTTCTTAAGTTTAATAATAGAAAAAACAGCTCTAACGCTAGCTACGCGCTAACTATAACGCTAACGCGCCTAGGCCGCTATAAAGATATTCTAAAAAATACTTTTCTACTATCACGTCTACTAATCTATAGCTCTACCTTCTAGAAATAGTTAGATAGCTTTTTTAATAGTTCTTATATACCTTTATTAAAGCTAGCTAAATAGGAGGTTAAGCAAGAGCCTATAGATAAGAGTATTCTAGAGAGTATCCTAGAGGGATTAGCTACACCCCACTCTATTAAAATACTAGTAGGCTTTACGCTAGAGAAGTAGAAGATAATTACTAAGATACTTATCATATTCTATTATAACAACAGCTACTAACTTATATAGAGATTCAACTGCGAGTAAGATAAGATTAATAACATTATTACTAAACGTAGCTCTAGTAGCTCCCAAAAAGGGCACCCAACTAGTCTTACTATCCTATTTAAGGGCCTAGCTAAGCAGTAGTTTACGCGCTATTGCCTAGAGAGATCTTACTACTCTAAGAACTTAAGAGAACAAAGCTCTTAATAAAGCTAAGAATTCTAACTATAGCGCAAAACACCACCTATATAAGAAGGTAAAGGCATCTAAGAACTATAATAAGCTGCTAGAGATCACTAAAGCTTAGTTTAAAGTTAACAAGGAAGAGCGCCTTCTTAAATAGTAGTTTAGTAATAAGCATAGTAGTTAGTTATCATAAATATTTATTACAGGCATATACTTTTAATAATTAGCTAAGTAGCTAGAGGAAGCCTTTTAGATAGTCTATAAGAAATAGTCTAAGATCTAAAATAAGATTAATAAAGGCGATATAAGGAAACCCTTTACTACGTTTAAGAGGCTAGTAGGAGCTCTTTATCTTAGCTACGCTAGTCTCGTTCTACTACTCGCCTATTTACCTCTAGTAGTACTCTAGAGAAGCCCCTTTACGATAAATACTAGAATAGATTATATAAGCTCTAAAATAACTTATTTAATAGTAAATAAGAGAAGGATAAGTAGTAAGCTTTTATTAAAGCACTCTCTCTAGATAAGTTAACTCTAGTTACTAATTTCTAATAAGAGTAAGTTATTACGTATACTTATTACGTTCAATTACTAATAGCGCTAAGAAACGCAAGCCTATACCTATCTATAATTAGTTTAACCTAGATATAGAGTTAGCTAATAATAAGCCTTATATCAAAAGTTATAGTAGCGATAAGTGTAAGAAAGAAGTAGATAATAAAGATAAGGAGAATTTTAATAGTACTAGTAACTACCTTATAGATAAGCAATATGAGGCTTTAAAAGCTTAGGGAGCTAAGAAAGATAAATAAGATAATAGCTTTTAAGATTAGGAGGAGTCTGAGTTTAAGGGTTTTCTAATAATAATAAGGCATAAGCTGCGGCGCTATTAGCTAATAGGGGGATTAGCAGCATAGAAGTCTCTTATTACGGCCAATTATCACGCTGTAGGCCTATCTAGCTTATTCTGTTTTTATTTTTGTATAACGTGAGCGGCAAGCGAAGCGGCCGGGTAAGCGAAGCGGCCACCTTTGCCAAGACTATACCTTCTTTCACCTTAAGCAACAATGTCTCAACAAAACAATATAGAATCGCTCTCTCGTGAGGATA